CTTTCTTGCTCCCTACCATGTTTTCAAAGAGGGTATCTCACTGAACCTAGACTTCATTGATTGCTGGAGAAAAATACATGCCACTCTGTTGGGCTTTTATGTAGCTGATGAGGGATCTGAACTTAGATCCTTGTACTTGTACTGTACACCAACGGTACAGAGATATTTTGCTAACCCTATGCAATATTAAATAGTTGATTAGCAACACTATGAAGTGGCATCTGACATGTCCTTCTTGATATGACAAAATACCAGGTATACAATATTACGTGTCAGCTAAGCTAAATGATACAAGGAAATGTGACACAGAGATGACCAACTGTTATGGACAAAAGTCATGATGAGTCTTCAATAACTTCAATAAATGATTCAGTGATGACAAAATACTAACGTGCCAGAAAAGTCTAAAAGGTAGGTTTCCTAGTTCCTAGGTTCACACACAGCTCTTAAATTGGCTGAGTCATGGAACTTCTTGCAACTGCCTGGCCTTTTCTGGAGAATTAAATGGAGCTAAGTCTAGGGGAATTCTAATTCACGTACTATGAACCCAATCTGATTTAATGACATATGGTACTTTGCGGGCTGATCAATATTTTAATATATAGAATGACTCAATCAGTAGTGACTACAAGTTGGGGGTGGGGAAGGCTAAAGGATACAAAATAGATATGCATGATAAATATAAAATTTTAATGAATAACATGGTCTAAATTAATAACCTGGTACCATAATAGGGACAGAGATTTTTTTAGCTACTTTTAAATCAATATACAAAGATAGATGTTAATATGCTTCACTACAGTAATTGTTATATTACCTGCATGCATACCATAATATACTTGGGGAAAATAAAACATTTGGGGGACTGGGAAATGTTTTAATGGGTGGGTATTTGCAGTGCTGGCACGAAAATATATTATATATACCTCAAACTATAAGGCACCATAATTAATCTTTAACTGAAACTATATAAGCCTTCAAATCAGCACATTCACGTTCTCTTTTCTCCCTTCTTGTAAAATACATTAAGCACTTTTGAAGGCAAGTATATTTTGGAGTATTGCTTCATATTAAACACACCTTTAAAATGTTATTTTTAAATTGTATGTGTGTGGGTCATATGTGAATACATGTGATTGTGGAGTCCTGAAGAGGATATCAGATGTCCTGGACCTGGATGGTAAGGAAGTTATGAGCTGCCCAATGTGGGTACGGGGAATTGAAACTAGGTCCTTGGGGAGAGCAATACATGCTAACCAATGACCCATCTCTCCAACCCATTAAACTTCCCTTTGATCTCATGCAGAGTTATAAATCTCATAATAGTCTTTATGTTCATCAGGAACCTGCCATTTCATATTTAATCACTTAATGTTACAGGTCATACACCCTGGGTTTGTCCAGAGCAGTTCCATTTTTTTTTTTTTTTTTGGTTTTTCGAAACAGTGTTTGTGGCTTTGGAGGCTGCCCTGGAACTAGCTCTTGTAGACCAGGCTGGTCTCGAACTCAAGAGAGATGCGCCTGCCTCTGCCTCCCGAGTGCTGGGATTAAAGGCGTGCACCACCAACGCCCGGTCGAGCAGTTCCATTTTTATAGCTCTTGTCCAGCCCAATTATTTATTAATAGTGCTCTTTCAATCTCAAGGGAATCCTCCTTTGGAATATAACACATATGGCCAATTTTATTATAGGCTATCAAGTTTAAAGACATCTTGATCATGGTAAAGAAAAATTCAAATAGGAAAGGTCTTTAATACAAACACAGTGGTGGACTAAGCATTGAGTCCTGGTTCTCTATTAAGAAGTACAAATCTGGAACAGGACTGCAAAATGGTATTTTGGCTTCCCTATGAAATAACCACAATCCTTAACGCAAATTACATGATTTCGTTTGACTCAGCTTTGTGCCAAATGCTCTTCCTTTCCCCACACGTCACCAGCCCTACATGTTTCTTAGGATTGGTGATATGCCAGTCACCAAGTAACAACACAATTTGTTGTGTGGAGGTCCTGAAAAGACTAAATCTTTCATGTCTCCCCAAATTAATCTTTCCCAGCAATCAGGGTGTCACTTCACTGAAGTAGCTCTGGTAAATATCAACAATAAAAAGGCAACCCAAGGGCATCTGGATAGGCCTTATCTTGGCTGCATGATATGGTTAATTTTTCAAAAAGTTCTAGACTAGTGAGCTTAAGTTTCTTGTCCCTTTGCAGCTTGCTTTTTATGTGCTGCTATTTGTATTGGATTTGGCCCACCTGTTTTCTCATCTAACAGATGCTGTATTATCTTACTGTTCTTTGCACCACCTCAAAGGACATTAAGCTATACTTGTGGTCACTCCTTAATTTTGGACCCAAACATCCAATTGCTAATTTAACTTACATATTCTGTCTCCAGAACTTCTCATGTTATTTCCTATTCTGGCTAGAAGTACCCTCACTTACCTGAAAAAGATCTACTTAGCCATATAGACTTAGTCTTTAAAACTTGAAGTTCAAGCCCATATCATCTCTTCCTTTTCGTTCTAAGCTTCAGAAACATCCTAGTTGCAATGCAGGTAAGGAAGAAATGGTTACAAAGGGCAATAAAGCCAGGTCATGTATGGTAAACTTGTAATCTTTGTGCTTAGGAGGATCATGAGTTCAACATAAGGTCAACATAAACACAGTGAGATCTCGTCTCACAACAAAACCAAACCAATAAACAGGCAGCAAATATCACTGAAAACTCTTTGGCTTAAATCCAATAGATGGTTTCATATTAGCTACAAGATGAAATAGAAACATCTCATATAGCAGGATCAGCTTTCTAATGTTAGGTCCTTACCTCTTCTCAAACTGACTTTTGGCATTCCTTCAACCTCAGCCACAACACTTGGAATTCCCAATCATCCTGCCCTGTTAGGTGTAACAGTGCTGAAATGCATGCCCTAATGTCACTTCTGCTACTTTGCTATCTCCTGTTTCCCAGAAAATATGGACATGAATCTTTCTTCTTAGATGTATGTATAAAGGCTAAAAAGCAAGAATCACATCTTATCCATATGCAGGACAAATGAGGAATAAATGAAAATCCACATAACTTTATGGCAAGGCACATGGGTATTGTTCACTTATCAAGACATACACACACAAAAAAATTACTATTTCGTATCTAGGAGGAGACACCTCATTGAGTTAAGCGTCTAACATTATGTGATCCTCAATTTTGGTTGGTCAATTACTAGTACTCTGAAGAGTCCTAATTATCAATTTGTTACTCAGGTGACTCAGGTTTTATTACAACATGCACAACCTAGAATAACAGGTTAAATAAACTGAATTGCTATATTGATGTTCATTTTATTAGTGCCAATGAGAAAAAGATTTGGTGCCACTCAGAATCAAAATCTGCTTTGTAATACATTATGTGATAAGCTTCTTCTTCTTCTGAACAGTGTATGTGCTATATGATGCAAATCTGTTTCATTATTAAGCCATCAGGATAGTGTGTGACTTAATGGATGTACCTACACAAGCAGTAAAAATAAACAAAACTACCCTATCTTCTAAAACCTGAAAACTGCAAATCATAAAGGCTGTTAATTGAAGTAAGGCTATTGACAAAGAACTTTAATCATCTGAGAATTATATTGATTTGATTTCTAATTCCTATCTTCTCTATTCAAAGACTAATTTCCTAGCAAGTATTAATCTTGATATATTTATTTAAATGTGGATTACATAAAATCTCTTTTATATAAATGTAAAACAACATTTGACAATAATCTTAACAAAATCACACAGAATATATGTCAGTAAGAAAAACAAGAACAAAGTAAGAACAGTTGGGTGTACCTTTGCACCTTAAAGGTTAGCTTGTAATTTTTGTTCACAAAACATTTAGATTTATTTCACTCTGGAGGGCTTTCTGGATAGGTGATGTTCACAAAGTAACCATTATAAATTATTTATGGTTAAACATATTGGCCAGTTCTCAGAGAAATGATTTGGGATTATTCCTTCTTGATGTTAAATAATAAGAAATGAATGCCAATAAACAATCAATGTTTACCAAGTTAGTAGTCAACTGAAACATCTCTATGCTATCAGTCCTTAAATTGCTCCTAAGAAGACATATTCCAAAAACTGTCTGAAAAGATAATGTATTCAGCATGGTATTTTAACAGACAGGGCTAGAGATTCTCTTCAGTTCTATCAAGCAACCAACCAAACCACCCACCCTTTACTTACAGCATTCTGTTTCTTCCCTAATTTTGTGGGAAATTCTTTAAAATGAAACTGTGTCCCAAGTACTTCAGAAAATAGAGGTACAAATGCAAGGTGCCATTATTATTATAAAATGAAATCCTAGCATTAATTCAAAGTAATTTGTGAATGCTTATATAGCCTAATATATTTAACGGTGATAAGGAATTTGTAGTCACCCAGCCCACAGTCATGCATACAGGAAGGCATAAGATTTCAAAATTGCCTAACATTAAAAAATAAGTCTGTTAATTTATTTTCATTCTAAAACAGGGCCCTTCATCCTGGAATCCCTCCCCCCCAATATAAAATGCTGAGTAATGTATAGGATGTGGCAAGCCTGTGTTAAAACTCCCCTTAAAGTTTTAAGTTCAATTACTATTTGTTTTCTATTATACTACAATTTGGCAGAATTTTTTTATTTGTCTGTAATTGCAGTAGTTGCAATTTAACAATAAACCAGTCTGACATTTTAGATCGTAAAGATACATACCATATATATTTCTTTAAAAATAATCATACTTTTTGTAAGCAATACTTTACAGTAGACACCTCAAAAATCTACCATAGATGTGAAACTTAAAACAAGAAAAATTTAAGTTCTAAATCTTTATACATATATATCTAGAGTTCTATATATATATTATATATACAGACATAAGTATATATAAAATATATATAATCAGATTTGAAAAGTGAACAAAAATTGGGTACTGTACATAAATTCTTTTTAAAACTCAAACAATAGAAAACTCTTTAAACATTAAACAATTTTAATAAAAGTTTCTGTACAATGCTAAGCAGTTTTATTTACACATAGAAAATGTAATAGGAGTAGTGTTTGAAATTACAGAACTCCTTAAAATTTCAATGGCAGGTAAATCTGGAAAAAAATAACAGCATTCCATCCACAAATATTTTCAAGCAATAAATATGTATTTATAAATAGTGTAAATTTACATCAAGATTAGAAACAAAAATCACAAATCTGAAATTTATTTCTTAGTCTATGTGCAATCCATTATCTTTGTGACTTGGCTGTTAATTTTTTTTTTAATGTTTTATTTAGGAACCAAAAGTATAACCATCATGATTTCAAAACAAGACAGAAAAACATAAAAGCAGTAAAAAAAGTTTCTCAACTTTTCACATTAAAAAAAAAAAAAAAAAAAAAAGGTGACCAAAGAAAGACTTAAAATTGCTAACTACCTTACAAAGAAATGACTGGCTAGGCTAGTAGTACTTTTTTTTCCCCCCCAAGGAAAATTCTGAAAGGGAAAAGATAGATGAAAACAAATTCATCAGCCCAGAAATACAGAAATATAAAAGAGGTTGTCTTCAAGTCAGTAGTCTGTATGGTGTTGCCAGTTTTGTCAGATATATACAAAACATGGGAATTATCATTTTATTATTTTTTTCTGAAGTTCAGCTGATTAGCTTTTTGAGAGTCCTGGTGTAGGAGCAGTACTCTCTCCCTGTCCAGTTGGTTGATACTCCATACTTGGAAGGTTGCATAGACACAGTTTTCAGCCAGCAGCCTTACGAGATAGCTACAAAAACCAGTGGTGCAGAACTGGGTTACTTCCTGAATAACAGAAAAGGTCTCATGTTTAATGTCCATGGAACAATATCAAGATGAGGCGGATGGTAAAGGAGGAGCCTGGAAAGGAAGCAAAGTAGACTATTTTGGTATATTCACCCTTAGTTGTGCTCCTTGGTTCACAGCTACAAATATGCAGTTGGTTTATGAGATTAGAAGAAATTATTCTGCAAAAAAGTTCAACAGCCTTGCTACATAGTGTAACAGTGCAACTTCCTTCTCTCCCACCTGGTAACTTTTTCTAAGGATCTAAGACGATCTTTGTTTTACTATTCCTCCAAAAGCTCTTGGAAAATTAGTTTACCACTTTTTATATATTGCTTTCTTTGACAGGGCTTAAAAAAAAAAAAAACAATTTAACTACAATTTTACTAGTGACTGACTGCCTTCTGAGATCTGTCTTAGGCAGGTAATACATTCTTTTTGGTAAATTCCAAATAATTTTCTATTTTCTGGAAACAAGTGAAAATATCAGGAGCTAAACTTCACGAGTTAGTTTTTGATTACGTATGTGGAAAGTATTGGAAGAAAAGAAAATCCATAAATTCAGTAGTTCTATTCAGATATGCTTTGAGTGAAATGCGTCCCACAAGCACCTGCTGGTTGCAATGAAAAACTTTGTGATTTGTGAGTACACTGAATTTCCTAAGCTTATATCACATGCCAGTAAGTTAATCGCTATCTCAAATACTCCCATGAGATTAAAACATCTGCCATGACACAATTTTAAACAAATTCAATTATCCCTAAAAGAAGAAGTATAATTCAAAGCACACTCACAGATTCATTTTTTGGGCATTAACTATGCAAACAAGCATTCCAACAACTTTGATGAAACGATATGAAAATCATGATACTGTTGTACAGCACACAGTTTTTCAAAGTAATTTTTTAGGTTGGTCTCTCCAAGAAGCAAATGAAAAATGATGTATGTCAATTTTATAGGAATAAATACTTGGAAAAGAAGGGAACCAAGATAAATACACCCTCATGCAATTATCTTGAGCCAAAGGAAAATCTACATATTTCATTACCTCCCATTTATCAGGTGGCAGAACAAACACTACTGCCTCCTAACCCAGCTAATGTACTCACATGTTGATTTCACTTACTAATGTAAATTGGTCATAAACTTGCATCAGGTCCTCCATTTTGTACTGTTCTAGCACCACAAAATTTTCCAGATTTCCGCTTGATTTTCGTGCACAATCTTGACAATGTACTATGTAGGTCTTCCGAGAATTACTCTCATTAGTGACAAAAAGCAGATCAAAAACCTCCACCTGTTTTACACAAATGAAAACCAGGGTCAATAGAGATGGTGGTGCTTATTGTACTGCTTCTTTGTAATCAGGGACTTACTTCTACTTTAATACAAATGTAGACAATTAAAAACATGGAGGGTTAAGACTGAGACTGAAAATGTTTACATTGCACCAAATCCCAAGACATGACAGCAGTCATATTTAGAGGAGTGACTGAAAGGAGTGTTATAAAACTCTGATACATAGACTGTTCATATTTGCATTGCCAGACCATCAAACCACAACCTGTAGAATGAATGATTATAATCTGATTATTTTGCAGATAAGGAAATTGGCAAGTAACAGTGAGTAAATATTTTGTTATAAGCCTTATATTAAAAATAGTACTCGTAATTTTTAGAAGTACATTAGAAATAATATATCTGTCATGGAATAACACTATGGTTTAAGAATCATACTCACATACTGAGAAGCTCATTTGCTCATTTTTCTGAGGTATAAAACACATCTGTTTCTTCATTAACTTACTCTGACCATTAAAATACCCAATGAATTTAATCATTTAAAATTAAAGTCAACACCAGAATCACAAAATTTCACAGATTGGACAACAACATGAACATAAAGAATGTAGCTGGCCAGGTGTTGGTGGCGCATAACTTTAATCCCAGCACTCGGGAGGCAAAGGCATTTGGAACTCAGTGAGTTCGAGGTCAGCCTGGTCTACAAAGTGAGTGCCAGGATAGGCCCCAAAGCTACACAGAGAAACCCTGTCTCAAAAAAAGAAAAGAAAAGAAAAGAAAAGAAAAGAAAAGAAAAAAAGAAAAAGAAAAAGGATATAGCTGGAAAAGTTATAAGCATTCTTTAACTTGTCCCTCATTTCTAACTTTTAATGAGTTACCTTGTAGATTTCATCTTCTAGATCAGTGGGTCTCAACCTATGGGTCACAATCCTTTTGGCAAACTTCTGTCTCCAGAAAAATTTACGATTCATAACAGTAGCAAAATTAGTTATGAAGTAGCAATACAAATAATTTTATGGTTGGGGGACGTCACAATATGAGGAACTTACTAAAAGGTTGCAGCAATACGAAGGTTGAGAACCACTAAACAGTACCACTGTACCATTTTAACAATCCATTGCCATGTTCCAAATCTAGCATATGTGGCAAAGGGATTCTCTCTTATAAGATTGCTGTATTATGTCGTCTCATTTTCTCAGTCCTCTCCAACCATTCCTTTCTCTGAAACAGACATCTGACTTTGTTTACTTCCTACAAGTTTCAGATGGATTCAATGACTCTGGAATAAATATTACATTATTTGACGGCATTCAAGATGCACTGAAAGCTACATGTCACCTAGATTTATGAGAGGAATCTGCACTGCCAGTATTGTAGCCACACTAGGTACCTAACCTTTTCTAAAGCCATTCCACTTCCCCAGTCATGGTACCTATTAAAGCCAACCAATATTTTCACTAGTTTGTAGTCTGTTGAAATCATATTCATCCTTCAAGAGTGGGCTAAAAGCTATGGATTTCTTGTTTGTTTTTGTGAGCTCTTATTGCCAATACCAGAAAGGAAAATTTTATCAACTATTTCCCTCTCTGCATTTTTCCTAAGTCCACTTTCACATTCATTATAGTCTGATGTGTAGTTAATTGTAACCTATCCTTCCCCAAAAGATTTTAAGTTCCTTCAGACCAGATACCACTTTGTTGTTTTGCTTGCAACCTTTAGTCACAGAAGAAGATTGACAAGTGAATTGTGAACTCCACCAGAAAGAACCGAACCACACTGAGTTATATACCAAACTCAACACAATTTACTGATATCTGTGTACATGAAGGTTGCTCCCAATCTAAAATCTCACAACTATCCTTCTTGGTTAATGACTCTATAGTAGATATGTTAAAAGTTAACTAATAGTTAACGAGATGTTACATTATTAAATTAAATGTTACATCATTTGATAAGAAAATATCAAAATTGAGCACAATGCTAATCATGGTAAAATGCATTACCAAAAAACTATTGATTAAAAAACAAAAGCAACTTTCTATAAACAACAGTGGGCAAGAACTATGACTTACCTCACAAATGCTACAATAATGAGCTGGTTCTTCTTTTGTCCGCCCATGCCATATGATCTCTTTTCCTGCAGCAATTAGAGCTTCCCTCAATGTCTGACATTGCTTCAGAGTTCTCAGAAGACAATACCTAAAACAGGGGGAAATGACTCATTACTAGCAGCTAAACATTGCATATTTTCACCTAAGAGATATACCAATAATGCCAAGATACTTGGTTCTAACGTCTATTTTCCTTTTGCTGTTTGTCTTCTGTTTCCCCTTCCCAGATATTTGAGACCTATCTATCTGATAGGCCTCAAGTGTGCAGCAATCAATCTCACCTCTGCCTTCCCAGTGCAGAGATACTAAGTTTGAGCTACCATGCCTGGCTCATTTGTCAAATTTTCAGATACTATCAGATTAAGAAAGTTAGGGCAAATGCTCAGCAGCTCTAAGGATGACAATTTCATGTCATTTATAGTTGAGATTAATTGGTATCTGAACATCACAACATAAAGGTCTTACTTAATATATAAAAACTGACTCCTTGTTTAAATGAGTTATTAACTTGGGTTCTCAGCTAGGCGAATTAATTAACCTCTCCAAACATCAATTTCCCCATCCACAAAGTAAGGAAGGGGTCTGAATTACAGATATGAACAGCTATGATTCTAGGCAGGCAGGGAAGCACATCATCTCTATTCATACCACCTAAACACTCATTACTATCATCACCTGTGTAGTTGTTTGGGTAACTCCAGAGCCCATGAGTAGAGAATAATTTATAAATTCGTTAACTACTAGGTACAAAATTGGTTTAACTATGGTAGAAGCGAAACGAATTTCTTCATTTTACCATAAAGTAACAGTAGAATTCAGTTATAGTAACACAATGGAACTTTTGTAACTTGTACCTCAGTTAGTTCTCACAATTTGTGCTGATTTTCCAAGTTTGCTATCACTACTTAGAACTGTTATATTCTTACTCTTCTGTAAATCTTAGCACTCAGATTTTCCATTTGAACAGAGTGGCTGAACCAGACGAATATCTAAAGCAATTTGAAAGTACCATAAAAAAAAATTCAACTAACTATCATCTTGAAGGCAAAAGCCATATCTATTCTACTGTCTTGCTGCCATATAAAGTAGGTGTTCAATACTTGATTGCCAATCAATTAAAATTCAAGATATACGTAATAGTATCTTTATCCTACTTCTATCATAAGTTAACAGGATAAAGTATTCCTATTTCCAGAACGCATAAATATTAATCCCTGGGGGACATATCTAAAAGTTATTTATTTAGCTACAAACTTACAAAATATACAATGTCAACTTTAGGGTTGCAGGCTTTAAGGATCATATTCCAAGAAATTCACTGTACTTGATTTCTTGACTTTTTGAAATTTTAAATTACTTAAAAACAAAACACAGTGATTAAATGTCAAACCTAAAAGCAGTTGTCAGAATAAGTACGCATATGTGTATGTATATATTTAGGGTACCAGACAAAGTAGCAGCTAAAACTTATCGTATCAAAATTCAAGACTTTGGCTCCTGCTACTGTCTTCTGTCCCATGGGTCCCATACAGTTCTAAAGGTAGAAATCTTACTCAAGGATTTTGTTTGTTTGTTTGTTTGTTTGTTTTCGAGACAGGGTTTCACTGTTTAGTTCTGGCTGTCCTGGAACTTGCTTCATAGACCAGGCTGGCCTTGAACTCAGAGATCTACCTGCCTCTGCCTCCCCAGTACTGGGATTAAAGGTGTACACCACTACCACCTGGTTTCAAAGGATTTTTCCCTCCTCCTTTTTATTTAACAAAGTTTCAAAACAGCATTTTCCTTCAAGAAAATAATGCCTTTATCAAAGAGATCAGGAGTGCATGATGCGAGAACTAGAGAGGCTAAAGCAGCAAGAACGCTGCAGGTAGCAGCAGGAATGCTATAAGAGAAGGTTTTCAAATGAATGGAAGATGAAATGAGGGAGAAAGCACTTCGAGATAAAGGAAAGAAGAATGAGAATCCAGAATCAATATGCACCTCAGACAAAAATGAAAAGAAAGAGGAAGTGATTAAGAGAGACCGCATAAGGAACAAGGATCGTCCAGCAATGCAACTTTACCAACCAGGAGCTCGAAGCCGAAATCGACTCTGTCCCCCTGATGACATCAAGCCTGGAGATTCACCAGTGGACAAAAAGCAGGAAAGTGGTTTAGCCATAGAAAAGGAGGAGGAGAGGAGTGAGAAGTCCCAATGGCCATAGGTGTCCTGACTGTCCAGGCAACCAAAGAGCACGTTATGTTATTATGTTATCCAGAAGTGCCTTCAGGGCAAATGAACAGAGAACAAGAAGAGGGGCCACTGTGCTGGTGGAATACACTTCAGGAGTGTAGTGTGTCTAAGCAGGAATAAGATTGCAGGCTCAGAATTGGAAGTACAATTTGATTGTATTTTGCAGTTTTCAGCAGTTTTCACCATTTTAATGTCTCAGAAAAAGAAGGTAGGAAGAACACTGCAAGTGAAAAATGTCAAGTAAGAACTTAACTTTGTATGACAAGCCAAAAAGGAGCAGGGTCTAAATTCAATAGGTGTTCTAAATTCTGGCTTGGAGTGTCTTAGTTGGAATGGAGCAGAAGCACACTAAGTCTTGTGGGATCTAATTATTTTGCATTGCTGGTGATAACCATTGACTCAGTAGTGTAGAAGCAACAAGCATGTAATTGTAGCACAAGTAGAGTGGAGGATAGAACAAATTACGGCTGATGGAAAAGATCCTGTGTCTGAAGTTGAGGGAAAAAAAAATTGCAAACCTCTCATGTTTTAAGTACATTTACAATTTTGCATTGGGCTGCATTCATAGCTAATCTGGCCTGCATGTAGCCAATGGATTGTGGTTTGGAAATGCCCCTTACTATTAAAAATCAAACAGAAAGTGGTTATTATATATTTGAGTGGGGACAACTTCCTTTGAATAAGGAAGATGAAGAGTTGAAGGTGTGTGTGAGATGATAATGCTGGTAGTGTCTAAAGAGGTAGGTTTAAGAGTGGAGGCAGGAGGTAGGTTTAAGAGTGTTGGTGGCTCATGCCTTTAATCCCAGCACCTAGGAGGAGGCAGAGGCAGGCGGATCTCTGTGAGGTCCAGGCCAGCCTGGTCTCCAGAGTGCCAGGACAGGCTCCAAAGCTACACAGAGAAACCTTGTCTCGAAAAACAAAAACAAACAAACAAACAAACAAAAAAGACAAGCCACTAGACAGGATGAATTAGAGGTTTGAAAAGCAGGAAGCCTCAAGCTTCTCCATCTCAAACTGTAGTACTTCTTTTTTGGGTACTCTCCATGTCCCATTTTCACTCCCTCTAGATGCCCCACCCCACCCTGAAACACAGAGCTTTGGATCTATGGAGTATTATTTCAGTCTTTACCCATAAAAATGAACCTTCATCTTCTACTTTGGTAATTTAGCTCTACAAATCATCACTGTAATTTTTATTTTTTTTAACAAGAATCTAGAAAACCTTAAGTTTTCTGAAAATATAAAACTATACTTTTTCCTTGCTTTTATCACTTTTGAACGCTGAAATTTTATGTTCAGCAGTTGAATTAGATAATTTAGAGAGGCAAGCAATGAACAGGCTTTAAAAAAGATGTGATTTAACTGCAAATCAAGAGATTCGAGGGCAATGAATCTAGGGAAGAAATAGGATCAAAGTTCTCATTACCTGACAGCAATTAAGATTTCATTTTACTAAGAATTAAATAAAGCAGTAGAATAAAATAACGAAACTGTCTAAGATTTTAAAAATACCATTTTTTAAAGTACTTTTTAGGAACAGGATCAGAAATTATTTCAGCAGCTAAAGAAAGACAATTAATTCTTTAAAACTCAAGTCCTGCTTTTTAACTGTTTGGATGAAAAACTAGTGGTGTCTATGATCTTATTATCACTTAGGAGGCAGAGAAGGGTAAGTTTAGATCAGCCTGAATTGACCAATGAGACGCATATATACATTATATAAAAAAAAGACAACCACAGAAAGAGGCTGCCAGCATAGTACATTTGAAGTTACACAGGCCAGCCAAAAACTGATTTGAAAAGCTAAGTGAAATTTTAGAGGACAACTTCATAAGAGATAAAGAAAATGAAAACATTATATTCATAAATTGACATTGAACCAAGATACCATGGACACTAAAGGATGAAGAGAAAATTTTCAAATGAAGGGAGATTTTCTATTTCGTAAGTGGAAATTCTTAATTTGAATATATCAATTTAGATTTGGGCAGAAGATGGGGAAAGGCATCTTGTGCAAAGAAGGAATGAAATGAGGTAATAGCGCAGGGGCTGTTTAAAAGGACAATTTTCAAACACAATAATTTCAAACAATTTTTCTTATAAAATTTTAATTTTCAGGTAAGGTTTTAGGGGCAAGAGAGTAACAGGAATGAAACCATTAATGATTTTATATAGATGCTAAGAACATACAAAATTATTCTGACATTTTAGGGGCATTTTGACTAAGTTTCTAAATTACAGAATAAACAAAGGTTAACCTGATATGGCACTTTACAATTCTTTACAGAATACAATTTGCCTCTAAGCATACCCAGAAGTGGCTGGCCAAGACATGTCACTCTTACTCAATCAGCAACAAAAAGCAAGCAAACATCCTCAAAGCCCTCACTCATACTATTGGGTCAGGATTGTTTATCCTTTGAAAACAGTAGATATCTGAGTATAACAAAGAGTTTCATTTAAATCAAGCCTATGACTGAAAATCAAGATCTCACTAAGTCAATGATAAAATGAGTAGTTTAAAATTACTTCTTAGACAAAAAAGCAAGCATGCTAATCATGTGACCAAAGGGGGGAGAAAAAAATAACAGCAAAAACCCCCAGCAACATATCAGAAGGCCAACAGGATTATCACACTGTAATGTATGCTATGGACCAACCTTTATGTGTCACCTATGCAGTGTTAGCAGAAATTCTGTTTAGTTATGACTGAACAATTGTAGAAAACTCATTTGTAAAATAGGAATCAGAAGTTAAAAGTGACTTAAAAGTCACTTCAATTTGTATCTTAAAACCTCTACTAATCATAAACTGCAATGTAAATAAAGAAAAAAAAAAACTTTCTGCTCTTGAAAATCAATCTCATCTAGTTCGTGGTATTTCTAATTTGCCTGATCCTTATGAAACAGATTCTCCCCACAGTTCTAGTAGAGCTTTTACTGGGTAAGAACAGAATCTTAAGTAGAGAATCAAATGATTTCTGTGATCAGACAACTAAGAACCAATGCAAGTATCTCATTTTATTTAGTATTGAAACAGCAAAATGTTTTTTGGGGGTGATTTATATGTGTGGATCTTTATTCTTGTGAGAATGAAGTATCTGGTAGTTATGCCTGCAAATTACTTTTTCATGTGGCTTAACTAAAAAGTATGTACACACGTATGAGAATTTATTACATAAGAAAACCTTTTTTTTTTTCAGTTAAAAAAAAAAGAGCAGCAAATTTAAGGGTAACAAAAGCAAAACAGTATTTCTTGATGGCTGTTTCTATTAGCAGTATAATCTATTGTTTAGTCTGAGTACTGGATAGTAATTATACATATCACTTTTGAGATAATTTTTGCCAATGTGAAAACTACATGTCATTGTGTTAACTTTTTTCTAGAAGGGAAGTCTATGAATAAATATATTGTTCAATTTTTAAAAAGCAAATACAAGTCTATAATGGCATATCATTAACATCCCATTTTTCATAAACTCATTTGGTGTTGAAACCTGGAACCATTTACAGATTTCACAATGACTAGCATATATGTTTTATTACAGAAATAGTAATATGTTTGGTTTCAGGACATTGTGATAGACCTTACTGAGAAGTTAAATTATCTATTGTCTTTTTAAATCCAAAAAATTCTGAATTCCCCAATACATTTGGCCTGAATACTGTTGTTATGTCTTTGCCGAGACATTTTGAACCTTCTCACCTTGCTCAGAAATGCTTTCTCACCATTCATTTATGGATGTAACAAGGTGTTTTTCTGATGGTGCTCTGGATGTGGTATTAAGTTGGTGTATTTATATTACAATGGTTCATATCTTTGTTTGGTTCCCAATTAGTGGAGCTGGGAAAGATTAGGAGGTGTGGCTTTGTTGGAGGAGGTATGTCACTGGGGGTGGGGGAGGCCTTTGAGGTTTCAAAAGCCCACACCATTCCCAGTTAGTTCTCTGCTTTGTGCTTGTGCATGGAGATGTGAGCTCTGTTATTGCTCCAGCACCTACCTACCTGCCTGCCACCATCCTCCCGCACCATGCTGCTAATAGACTCAAACCCTATGGAAGCATGAGTCCTAAGTTAAATGCTTCACAGCAACAGAAAAGTAAGAAAGACTTACTTAGGTTCCATTCTCATCCCGCCTGTATTTTCAATGTTAATACAAATTATGTGTTTGCCTAGAATGCATAGCTTCTTTCTTTGTGTGTTTTTGGCAATACTGGGGATTGAATTCAGGAGAATGTATAGCTTAAAAGGACTTCTCTAGACACTGGAAGACTCCAATGGACTTATCACTGTATTTCTTTCATTCTATTTACTTATGTGCACTAACTGGACCTATTCATAAATTCTCACTCATTAGCCCAGAGCCTGTAGTCATCATGAAATATTCATTACATGAAAGAATAAGAGCAAGATGTTTGGTTGGCAAAAATTGCACATTATAGCAATGACTTATGAAAGGAATCTTATGAAGTAAGGCCAAGGGGCTTATATTTGTACTTAGCATTTTCAATTGGTACAACTGCAAAAGAAGCTTCTTAATCACATCTGACAATCCAAGCTGGGAGCAGAATTCTTAATTTAATGAGGAATGCAATCAAGAGCCATATAATTAGACATTTTGTAGTGCTAGGTAAAATGGAGAATAAGTAAATACAGGTGCTCAAGACATCACAACAATAAAGAAAGAGGGTAAACCTAGCCTTGCCTTTTGGACCACCATTTCTATTTTCTTATAATGGAGTTGGAAATCCTCTGATGGTAGTAAGCAGTAACATTGAACCAACATATGAACTTCTTACCATGTCCCAAAAGTTCATGGACAAACTTTATTTTGTCACGTTGATCTAATCACTACCACTTTTCCTTTCACATTGGCTCTAGTCACACTGGTCTTTTTGTCAAATTAGTAGTCTGCACTTTTCCTCTAAATCTGAAACATCCTATCCCCAGATGTTTGCCTCATTATTCAGGCGTAAGCACAAAATCCACCTTAAGTCTCAGAGATCTTCTCTCATGCCTTTAGTAAAAGTAGCATTCTTACCATCTCTAACCAAGTATTTTTCAACTGTATCGTATACATATAAATACATCACCTCTCAGACTCCTGTTTGGTAGTCTCCTCCTATTACAGCACTAGAATGTTGAGGGATATTTGATCACACTGTGTGAAGATGTGTCACTATTTTACCTTGCCTACCCAGGTGCCTTCTGATTGGTTTAATAAAGAGCTGCATGGTCAATAGCTAAGCAAGACAGGAAAGACGTGACTTTTGGGAAGAGAGGAACTCTGGAAAGAAGAAAGGAAGAATTCGCCAGTGAGATGTGGAGGGAGTCAGATGCACAGCATGGAGGTGGGGTAATGAGCCACATAGCAGATTGTAGATTACTATAAATCGGTTAATCTTTAGTTATAAGAGCTAGTTGGGAACAAGCCTAAACTAAGGCCAACATTTCATAATTAATAAATCTCCTTGTCTTATTTGTGAGCTGAAGGTTCAAAGTCCAACTATACTAGAACTTATGCCCTGAAAAAACAGCAAATTCATCTTTATACCAATGTGTGTCCTTTAGCAGTAAACACTGATTCTCAACAGTTCTTAAACAGGTGTTGAACCTAACTATATTTAGAGAACTGAGATCAAAAAAAAAAAAATTTAAAAGGTGAGTTTTTAGACTAATTTACTAAAAGATGAGAATTTCATGAAGTTGTGGGTAATCAAAAATTATAAATGTTAAAGAGAGGATTACTATGTTAAGTAGGAATTACAACTTAAATGACTTTTATAAATCTGTTTCCAATGATAAAATCCTACTCAATTCAAAATGTAATTTAATGAACTACTCAATCTACATAGATATTACTTAACAGCTTTTTTTTCAATTTTATGGTCTCATCAGTGCTGATTCATGCCTATAAATCATTAGAACTCGAGGGTGAAGTAGATAGGACAACTGCCAAGAGTTCAAGGCCATACTGGACTATACAGTGAGTTCCAAATATCAGTAAATAATTAAATTATATTACCTTTTGATAATCTGAATTATTCAACATGGTCAATAACTATCCACCAAACCCAAATAATCAGCAAGCAATGAATTTGCTATTCTAAGCAAAGTAATTGTTTTGAGACCTAATAGGTTAAATGAATGAGACAACACCCAGCCATGATCAATTATATTACATGTTATGATTTGATTTTGTTCCATTTTATCTTCGTATATATTTTACCTTGTCCTAGGATGAGGTAAAGTAGTACAAATGACAAAAGACTGATGTAAGAGAGTTCACAGACATGTTACCTTGCCTACATATAAAATTTGGATTTAGGTTTGAAATAATTTTTAAATAATTAGGATTATTTTCAAAAGACAGAATTTTGAAAATAGCACATACTAAATTACTAAACCTGCATGAGAAGTACTTAATGTACAGCAGAACATTTTAAAATGAAGTTTTGAGGCCAATTCTGTAAAAAATACTAGTCAAACAAATTTGGGAAATATACATTATAACTTCTCTTCCATAAAAATACATAATCAGTGTCTAAAAGTTTTTTTGAAAATAAGGGACCCAATTAAATCCATCATTTCCCTTGTATCTTTTGTGTATGGACATTTTTGTATTTATTTGTGTAGGTGCTGGTGCACATGCATGTTAATGTCAACTGTCTTTCTCAAATGGCTCTCCATCTATATTTTGGGACAGGGTCCGTCAGTGAATCTGGAGTTCTTCAATTCAGCTAGGTGGCTGACCAAGGAACTTTAGGGTTCTGGCAGCCTCTGCCTGAAAGTGCTGAGGTTATATAGACACCAGCTGCCATACCCAGCTTTTGACTTGGGTTTTAAGGATCTGAACTCAGAACCTCATGCTTGCACAATGGGTAATTTACTGATTTAACCATCACCCCAGTTCTTATTTCCCATATTTTTTGATCAGAGTAAAATTTACACTATTACAAAAAAATACTTTGAAAATGTTACTTCTAAGTAGAACCTGACACACACATATTTGAACTAAGTCACTAAGACTTTATACAAACATATAAAGTGCTTAAAACAGCCAAAATATGGGTAACAGTTATAATTTGATGAAAACTTTGGAAAACTGACATTTTAGTCAACGCCCTATATTAGCTACTCTCTAACAACAATTATTCTGTGATATTCTTTCTACAGTGACTAAAAGCAGATATTTAATAATTAAAATTCTACTGAGAAAACCAGTAGTTCAAACAGCAGGGAAGTATTAGAAAGTGAATCTTCTGCTGTAGAACAATTTATAACTTTATTCCTTTTAAAGGATAGTGGGTTATTTGGAAAGGAACTGTATTTGTAACAAGCAGATTCTCCTATTTTGCTAGACTTCTGGATCATCTTATTTTAATGTTAACATAATTCTATGGGGGGGGAGTATTTGACAGTCAACACCCCTTCCCCCCGCCAAGAGTTCAGCATAGCAATTTTAGAAAGCACTTACTTAATCATTTCAAAAAGCTTTGGATCTGAAACCTTGATATTTCGTGCCATATTCCAGGAAAGATGAACCATGGGCACTATTGACTTCACACTTTGCAATTTGTTCCATTCGTACCGTTCCACTGCCAACTTATACTGGCAGGCTGAGGGGATAAAAATTAAGACAAAAACAAAAACTGAACTATCAAAAGATGTGAAGATAACCATTATCACACCTCATGAAAATCTCAAATCATCACAAATTGTTTTCTTTGCTTGTGTTTATTCAGACAGGGTTTCACTGTGTAATTCTGGCTGTCCTGAAACTTACTTCGTAGACCAGCAGGCCTCGAACTCAAGAGATCTGCCTGTCTTTGCCCCCTGAGTGCTAGGATTGAAGGTGTGCACCACCACTACTACCTAGCTTACAAAAATAATTTTTATGTTTTGTGATAAGTATGGCAATAATTATCAGTAGAGCATTTCCTATTACCGTGTGCCAGGTATTGTATTTAACTAACTTTTTTATCCATTATCTCATTTAATTCTTAGCATTACCTTATTATCATCACCAGATGAAGAAATCAAGGACTGGAAAAATTAAGTAACTTGCCCAAACTTACAAAAGCCAAGTCCCAGTTCAAATCCCAAGTCTTTCTGTCTCCAAAGGCCACATTCTTAATTAAGGGAAATACTACCTGAGGATAGGCATAATTCTAACTGTATTTCATGAAAAGAAAAATCTAAAAGAATGTATTTTTACTTTGTTTTCTTCCCCTCCTCCTTAAGAGGTCCCTTTACAAAACAAAATCAAGGACTCTAAAAATCATTACAAGTGTATCTTCCATGTATATAAACATTTCATTTGTTAAGGATTTATGGTTTTAGATTCTTAATAGGTAACTAACATTTAACTTTTATACTAAAAATTTATACTAGAGAGGAGACCCTTTTTTCTAAAGAAAAAATTACACTTATTATTTAGAATTTTTTTAAGGTTAAATTTTTTTCCAAGGCTATTCTTTTAAAATACCTGTAAGTGGACCAACGTTCCAAGCAATGTTGTTGCACCAGCCAATAGCTTGAACCCAGTGAACAGTGCCTGCATTTATCCAGACCAGGTCTCCTGGTCGCTGAATAAACCTATATACTGGAACATTTGCTTCATAAAGATCTTCAAGATTGGGCCACCAAGAACCCATTAAGAAATTCAGATTATTTCTGAAATAAGAACAGAGCAAATGGATGAAGGACTCTATTTTAATGATAATTTCAATAAAGCTTAACCAACAGTGTAATAAAAACAGCTATATGCATGTAAAGAGTAAAATTAATTACAGTGAAGTACAGGAAGACTTATCTAAAGATAGCATTACTAGCTTGAATTTATTTCTTCAAGTTTCAAATGGAATCTGTAATTACTCTGAAGTAGCATACTTTTAATTCAAATTTCATTTCATTAAGCCTCCCACCCCACTTTCAGACACTGAACCCTTCTCTTACTGCAGTACCTGGAAATCACTAAAAGACAGAGGATAGAGATGAATTCATTTATATTCATAAACAAGAACACTATATAAGTTCCAGAAACTCCACTCAATCAGGTCTCTACTGCTGCTCTGATTCATAAGGAGGAAAGGGGGTACAATTTGTCAACTTCTATATGGTTTGGAAGATCAGCTAATTAAAACTGGGCAGTTAAAAACAAACTTGTACACATCTTGAACAATAAACGTGACCACTACCATAACCACCATTTTGGAAACATTCTATAGATTGTATTACTACGCTTGAATTTTATGCTTGAATTTTAATAGTTTGTAGGTTATTCATCATAAGATGAAGCACTTTGGAAAAATTATACAGCAATTTTTCCTATAAAAGAATTTTATACATTTCAATTAACCATTTCAAACTTTATAATTTTGGGGAAGAAGAACTCACACAGTGGAAATATCTGCTTAAATCTAAGAGGTAACTGTTACTTGATATGCTGGGGTAAAGTAAACAATAAAGATTATACAAAAATGTAACAGTTTAATTTTAAAGAGTTGACACTCTATGACCCTGCTGACTTTTTATAAACTTTACTAGAAGACAGACATTACCATTTATTTACATATGACCAATGACTGATTTTGTATTACAATAACAACTATGACAGAGAACACACAATCTATAAACTATCTATTATTTTGTCCAGGATTGTATAGGAAAAACCTTTGATCTAAAACAGAACCTTAGTATCTCTCTTTATCCTTAAAAAATTTCAGGGCTAGCAAGATGGCTCAGCAAGTAAAAGTACCTGCCACCAAACCTGAGGACCTAAGTTTAATCCCTGAGTCCCGAATGGTAGAAGAAGAAAACAGACTGATTCAAGTTCTAAGCTTTTCTCTGACCTGTAGTCATGTGGTTTCATGTTTGTTCTCTAAACAAGCAAATAAGCAAACAAAATGTGAAATGTCAGACTCCTTTTGGAAACTCTAGAACACACTACTAATGACAGCCTATCTGCAAGTAGATCAGACTGGCTGGCTGTTTGTGATAAGGCTGTGCAAATACATTTCTGTATAAAGCAAAAAAGAAAAGAAAAACAACTATTAACACAAATTGTATCCCTATTTCAATCTTGTGGTACCATCACAAAAACTTTCTAAATAAAAGCAGGCAATCAGCTCCAATTAATCAACAAGACTACTAGTCTTCAACAATACATTTGAATCCGTAAAATTCTGTATCTTGTTTTCTTGTATAAAATGAAACCTAAGTGTTAGTGAAGACACTATAAGGTGATTATCTCTCTAAATTTAAAAAAGAAGTTTATAATTTGAAAATTTTCAATTATGATATATTTCTTAATTATTCAAATATTTACAGTAAAGATTTTTAAAGAAAAGTTAAAAATTACATGTTAATATAAGGAATGTCTATAATTAGTTTTCAAATTTCATATATAATACATACTTTCAGTAGCCCCTCCCCCCACATTTAACTGAAATGGGGGCAAAATAGCACATTAATGGTTTGTATTTTTTAATTTTCCAATTTTATTACTAAATGAAAATATCAGCTTACATAATTGAGTACCTTTTGAAAAATGAACCCAGTCCTATCTAGAGATACTAAATTTAAATTAGTTAAATCTCAAAGTATTCTTTAACATAAGCCATAACCCATAAATGAAGGATAGCTATTACTAGTATCTTAAAGAAATGAAAAGATACACTATGTACTTTCTTTTGAATAGAAAAACAAAATTTGAAGCAGTGAATTAAATTTTATAGAAAGCATTTATAGGAAAAGCTGCCAGTTTTAAAAAGAATGTATATCATGACGACATGACAAAAAGTTTTATGTTCAAGCTTGAATTATTCCTAATGGTAAGCATGTTCACTTACAGAATTTATTTCACTTTCTAAAAAATCTATGAAATGTTTTTTCTTGGAATACATGTCTTTTAAATAAGTATTTTAATTTACGATTTTAAAAATGAAACTAACTCAAAATTTCCAACCTCCAAACTCATGCCTACTACTATAGCTCATAAAGTGGTTTCATGATACCTTTACTATAAATGTTCTCATAATATCAATAGGTTTGGAATTACTTAATTTAACATGAATTTTTTCACTAAATGGTAACTAAAAGCTGATTATATATCCACATTGGGCTATCCAGTTGGTCCTTTACAATTATTGTTTTATAATAATTATGTCTAAATAAAACTCAGTTTGGAAACCTACTTTTCACAGAAGTCATTCAGAACACCCCAGTAACCTTCAGGAACAACAAACCATTCACAGTCACCTGGGCCAATATTTATATTAACTGAACAGAAGTTATTATTTTCTTGATGACCTAAAAGGTGGGGAAAAAAAAATCAACATACTATTAATTCTACAGAAAATGGGTCTTTAGACATGAAACATTTAAAATGTTAAATAGAGAATATTAAAGATTTTCAATTCTTTATAGTGTTGAGTCTGGCTTTATGACTGAGTTTCAACTATTCCTGACTTACTCAGTGAAGGCTGATATGGAAGGAAAAGTAGAGTTTAGACTCTGATAGGTTGCTTGGCTCAGTTGTAACATTAACCAAAGCAAGCTGTTAAAACATTTTTTAGCTCACTTTCCTTATATATAAGAATAAATATTAATAATTTCTATAAAATTGTTATTTTGAAGATGAATGAAATAATGTCTAATAAACAATATACATTAGTTACAGATGCCATTACTTTTTTCTTTTTCATTGTGAACAAAGCCTGCTAGAGAGATGGCTCAGAGGGTAAGAGTCTATGCTGCTCTTGTAGTTTGATCTCAGAAACCACGTCAGGGGGTTCCAAGAGCATCTGACACTTCTGGTCTCTGTGGACACTTATACTCATGTACACATACATAACCACACAACTAAAAATAATAAACCCTTAAAGGGTAATAAAAAATAAAACAGCTACTCTCAAGGATAAGCGCAAGAAAAAAAAGGCAAAACAGGAGATCCTCTCTCTCTCTCTAAACATCAAGATCAACTTTATTAGAACACAGGGAGATAATCATAGGTTTATTGCCATGAAATAAATACCTGACCAAAAAGAAAGGCAACTTAAAGCTAGTAGACATCTGTAGTATAGTACTTTATATCTTATCTTCCCTGCATTTCTGGCTAAATGATGAACTTAAAAGACTTAGAATTTCTATTTCTGGTGTAGAACCCTGGTCACAGTTTGCTCTAGATGGAGGAAAGTAAACTTTGTTCCCAAGGAAATATACTTTGTTTTATTTTCACCTAACTGAAGGATTCACCAAAGAACTGAGGCAAGGGCTCATTATTGCTTCACCTATCTCAGGGTAAGTAATATAATGGGTACCCAGTAGGTACTGTAAGTACATATTTGGAAAGTCCCCTTAGTATGAATTCTAAATAAAAATGAGCTGTAGCTATCATCAGTTATTCAACCTGAAATATCTCTATAAAATTCTTTAAGAGCAAAGCCTGAACAATCCTGTAGTTTAAAATATACACGCCTGATTGTAAAGTCAGCTAAAACAGCAACCACTTGTACTTATGTAACTCCAGAACAACTATTTAATACAAAGATTCACAGAATGATATTTCTTATATTGTATTGATTAAACTATATACATTTCTTGTAAGATCATGGCATTTAATACCAAGAACTTTTTGAAATGAGAGTTGGAAGTGGTAGCAACTGCATAATATACTCTGAATTTTAAATATTTGGTATGAAGAAAATGTGAAACTTCTTTGTAATTTTATATTGATTATATGTTTATACTTTGGATATTATAGGGCAAAATTAACTTCCCTTACTTTTCCTACTTTAATGGATCGAAAGGAATTTTAAATTGTATGTAATTTACATTGCATTCCTATTGGACACACTACCTAAAAGGAATTCTTCAGATGCTCAATTGAAAGACTGGGAGAAAAATCATTACCAAAAACATATCAGATAGGGGGATGACTATGTAGAAATTTATAAAGAACCAAAAATATTAAATTCCTCTTCTTCCTCATCAAATGAAAGGGCTAATGAACTAAGGTTTCAAAAGAAGGAATATAAATGGCAAGTAAATACTTGAAAAAGTGCTCAGTATTCTTAGACATCAGGAAAATGCAAAATTAAAAACTACTTTGAAATTGCTGTCTCAACCCAGAGAGAATGAGTATCAAGAAAACAAAGGACAAAAAGCGCTAGTGAGGATGTAGGAAAAGAGAAACCCTTATATACTTCCGGTGGCAACGTAAAACAGTATGGCCACTAAGGAAATCGGTATAGAGATTCCTCAGAAACTTTACAAGTTCTGTATGATCCGATTTAAGTCAAGATACCACACGGAAATACTAATGTTCCCGCTGACTGCTGCACTATTATAATAGCCTAAACATGGAACCAGCCTAGATAAATGAAATAAAAGAAACTGTGGCACACAAACACAACATGAATTTTACTCAGATGTAAGAACAATGAAATTACAACACTCACAGGAAAATAGATGGAATTGGAGATTATTATGCTACATGATGTGAGCAGGCTTAAGGAAGAAATGTCACATTTTCTCTCATGTACAGAAATCTATTTTTAAATTAATATTAAAACTGATTTTAAAAATATAACAAAATGTTAAGACTTCTAGGGCCGATATTTAGTGCATTTTTCAGAGCCCTTTCATGCCCCCACCAAATAAAAATGTACAAATGGGGGGGGGAGAGCATGGGAGTCTGGGGAGAGTGAAATGGCTCAGCACATAAAATTATTTGCTGTTCAGCAGTTGGAAGTAGAAGCCGACACCCACAGCTAAACATTGAACTGAACTGGAATCCAGTTGCAGAGAAGGAGGAAAACAACAGAAACAGCTAACCTGAACAAGGGGCAACTCTTGGTCCCCAGACTGATAGCTAGGAAACCAGCATGGAACTGATCCAGACACCTGAACGTAGATGTCAGTGAGGAGGCCTTGGCAATCTATGGGGCCTCTTGTAGTAGATGAGTGTTTATCCCTAGCATAGGAATGGACTTTGGGAACCCATTCCACATAGAGGGATACTCCCTCAGCCTAGACACACAGACTCTGATGACACCCTATGGAAGGCCTCACCCTCCCTGGGGAGCAGAAATGGGATGGAATAGGAGGTTGGTGGGGGGCATGGGAGGAGGGAAGAAGAGACTAGGATTAACATGTAAAACAATCTTGTTTCTACCTTAAATAAAAAAACGGAAAAAAGAAAATTGCTGTTAATCAAGCAGGACAACCAGAGTTCAATCCTCCAGATCCACATGGTAAAAGGACAGAAACTGACTCTGGCAAGTTATCCTCTGACTTCTACATGTGTGTCACAGCACATATATGCAGGCTTGTGTAAGCACATGTGGACATACACAATAAATGTAACAAAATATTCAAAAAATATTCAGAAGAGTATAGGCACAAGTGACAATTACTCTTCATATTTACAATGAAAAATTCTTTTCAATTAAGGTATATTATTTGTAGAAAACAGTTCAAACTGGATGGTTGTCAAAGCAGAATCAATCTGATAAAGACAGAAGAAAACCAGTAAGTTTAAGTAGCCTGTCCAATATTCATATTGCTGTCTAATGATGGAGCAGAAAGCAGAACATGGTTCTCTTGCCATTCATGCCCGTTTTTGTTCTTTATCTAACTATGTATAATAAACAGAATTAGGTTTCAAATGACACGAGAATAAAACTACAATCAATGGTTCTAATATTGGCTGTACATAAAATTCCCCTGGGGAGCAATTTGTGTTGTTTGTAGGTTTAATAATATACATTCTTAGATCTTAAATCTCCAAGAATCAATTATATATTCTACAAATGGGGTTCATCTGAACAGAGATAGAAACCAATGATCTCTACTAATCAGAAGAAACATGGTCCTATTTTGAAATGATTCTTAAGCTATGACTCATTAAGGTGACAAAGAAAGGAAGCAGTCTGGATTTTAAGCTATGCTTACTTCAAGTAAAATAATAAAACATATGACAAGAGATATGCAACCTATAGGTACTTTATAATTATCAGTAACTGTAGTAATACATTGATGCGAGGATTATAGTGACTTCTAAATATTTCAATATATTACTCTGAAGTTTCATGTCAATCTATGGGGCACAAAGAAGAAGATACTACATTAGTGATAAATGGAAATGTGAAAGCTGAAAATTAAATCACTTGACATGAAGAAAGCAATTCAAAGAAAGGATATGACTTGCAAAACCTACACAATCTAACCGGTGGCGAAGTCCACAGGATGAATCTAGTAATTGCTCCATTATCAAGTGCTTTCAAAACTGTCAGTTGCAACCTAACCAGGGGATGGTAAGCAGTTTCTTTTTCAAACTAAGCAGAATGGAATAGAATGGAAATTGTATTTTGAGTGAAGTTGTTATATGCAAGACATACACTGGGCCATGATAAGAAACAAGCACATGATAAAAATCAAAACTGTGATTTTAAAAACCGTGAGAAAACACTGTACCCTGCCATTCTTAGAAGTATGCAGGAAGGATATGGGATAGGTAGAGTGTTAGTTTGGGGTGGGGGTGGGGGTGGGGGGAAAAGAGAGGCAGAGGGAACTGGGATTGACATGTAAAATAATCTTGTTTCAAATTTAAACAAAAAATGGAAAAAAAAAAAAAAAAAAAGAGGCATGCAGGAACAACCCCTGTTGGGCCACAGAGAGTTCTAAAGAACTTTTTAAGAACAAAATAGTAATATTAGATTATAAAGATACCAAAGGGGAAAAAAATCTTGACCTAAGTCCTGCAAAATGCATCAAATCTTTTAAGAACACTAATCCTTTTAGTTCTATTCATTTTAAATGGAAGAGAGTATGATTCTCTTTACATGATTCCTCTTTTATGATATATTAATACAATTTACCTGGTGTTCTGCTTCCCGGAACTTTCATATACAGTTGAACTGTGTTCATGCCCAGTATAGTATGGCCAACATGGCTTAGAAGATTTCCTGCTGATACGACACGTACAAAAGCAGGAAGTTTAGTCAGCTCATGTAGTTGCAGCTTCCATCTGTAAAGAAAAAAGTAAAGCTTTGCTATATTTGTGGAAGTTACCAATTTCTTCAAAGCTCTTAAGTTCTAATCAGAAAAACAAAACTGTAACTATTTTACATTCACATAAAAAATGGAATGTTTAAGTTATCTTTACAATGAAAACTATATTAAAAGTATAGACCTACAATATTAATGAAAAATTAACTACCATAAAATTAGGGTATTAGTAAAAAAAGAAAAAAAATAGCATATAATAGTCTTGGGTTAAAAAAAATTTAACTGTGACGTCTAGTAAAATTATTTAGTTTGAGCTCATGTCACTTTAGAAACATGATAGAGAATAAAATAGAAGAAATTGTTGCAACAGTTCATAGAACTAGCATAAGGACTTACTTTTTGTCATCAGACAGGTCAATGTTGGTCCCAAACTTAATGGTTTTAAAGGGTCCCTTTCTCCTTTTCCCAGAACTTAAAAAGAAAAAGGCAGAATTACAAGCATATCTTTTAAACAGAAATATTAAGTGGAAATGAAAAATAACTTACTTATCTGATGATGTAGATTCATTATCAGAGTGGTCTTTATGGTGACTTCTTTTCTCATTTTCTTCCTAAAATTAGTAAAAGGCATTTTTAGCTTAGTATTCCACACATATGGTAAATCCTTCTTGCCACTAAACTACAGATTCTCATACTAGCTCCATTTGCAAGGAGAGAAAACTGGTATAATTCACTGTAATGCAATGCAACTTGCAGGACAGGTTTCATTAGATGCATTTCCTTTGTAGTATTGCAAAAGCGGGACTTGACACAAACTGGAGTTATCTAAAAGGAGGGAATCTCAACTGAGAAAATGCTGTAGGACATTTTCTTAATTAGTGATTGATGGAGAAGAGCCCAACCCTTTGTGGGTGTGTAGTGCCTGGGCTGGTGGTCCTGGGTTCTGTAAGAAAGCAGGTTGAGCAAGCCATGTGGAACAAGCCAGTAAGCAGCATGCCTCCAAGGATTCTTTTTTGAGGTTCCTGCCCTGTTACAGTTCCTGTCCTGAACAGTGCTGTAGAAAACCCTTTCCTTCTGAAGTTGTTTTGGTATTTCATTGCAGGAATAAAAACCCTACCTAAAACATTAACCCAAATATATAATTTCATGTAAAAATGTTGTCTGCACTGGAAATGTGAGCTCAGAGAAACATTCTAAGTATTTTAAAAGAGATAAGCAAATCTAGCAAATTAAATTAAATTTCCTGTGCAGGATATATGAACAAACAACTAAGCAGACAGCAGTATTAGAATATATTTCAAAGAACTCACTTCTGTGGATGGTTTATCTTCAGCTTATGGGAGAACTCAAAAAGTTCTCATTATAATACATGATTTTAGTAAAGTTCCAATGATATAAGACCTATATGGAGCTTTTAATAACAATTGTGATTAGTTTTAAATTTCAGATTTCAAAATTTCTATATATGTTGAAATGATTCTTCTCAATTTCTACCTCTTCCTCGGCATTCTTTTATGAACTAACACTGGAAGGAAGAACACTAATACTTCCAGAAAGAGCTGTCTACCTGATCTGGCAGAAGAAAAAACTAAAGTGCACAAGATAAGAAATTCTTCAAACGTAAAGCAAACTCAAGACAGGTGTAGCCTCCAAATCAGTGATTCTAAATAATAAACCACTCTGTCTTCCAGGAAATATGTGGTATGTCTATGAGTGTTTTTGAGAAGACACAGATACTGCTAAAAATGCTATAACACACACTATAGCCCCCAAAACAAAGACATATTCAATTCAAATTGTCAGTAGTACTTAGTTAAGAAATTCTGCTTTCAACATAAATATCACAGATACCCTGGGAAACATCTTTCCAGATAGTAATTCCTTCTCTATATTCTGAATGAACTCATACATTTTTTTAAAGTCAACTGGATAGCACTTACAAGGTGTAACATAATATGATCTGATAATAGCTAATTTCAAAACTACAAAATGAAACATTTTTTTTTTTTTTTAAATCTATGAAATAATCTCCAGGAAGCAAACACTTACTCTCAAGGATTCTTGGAATGAGGAGGCTTGGTACTGAGCATATTTAGCTATTGTAGTATGAGACCTATTACTTTCACAATGCCAGATTTTCTTGGTTCCAGTAGGGTCCCAGTTTTCATCAGCTGGTTGTAACAACTGTGTCCTCACTTCGACAATATGTTCATTGTTAGCTTCCACCAAAGTTTTAGTAGAGAAAAGTCCCAGGTCTTTATTATAAGCAAGCCATAAATAAATAAAGTCAGCAAAAACAACACAAAAATGCAAAAGCAATTTAAAGCAATATATCCAGTTTTCCAAAAAACTGACCAGATCATCTATATAATTTGAAGGCCTGGTCATAACAAATGCTCATGTTACTCCCACAAAGAAGAGTCTAGAGTCCAATGGTCAAACTTCTCATGTACTTAATTTTTGTAGGTGCTAGCAAATACCAATGGAGCAGTACTTGATGAGTACACCAAATTTCACTTACATTTTATATTTAAAGTTTTCCTAGTAGTAAACATAAGGTACTAGTATATAATTAGATAAAAATAAAAGCTAAATTAAAACTACTTCTAAATTGCCAGCAACCAACACTGTCATCATTATGCATTTGAATTATGGACTTCAATAATTAAAAGGTTAAAAGACAGCTTGCATAGAAAGTTTTTTTTGTTTTTTTGTTTTTTTTTTTACTTAAAGCATACCTAATTTAAGAGCTCCAGCAAGGCCACGTATTACTGTAACAGGATTATTTGGATTTGTACAAAACTGATGTAATGGAGGAAAGAAAGCATCACGTTTATTTTCCAACTGTAAAATAAAAATTAAAATATATGGTTAGATTTCAGGAAAACACAGCTTTTAACTTAAATATTATGCCTCAGATTCATTGCCTATCAATGTAAAGATTTTAATTTGTGTTCATATTTCTTTTCTATTTCCTAGTATTTTTGCATTTTGGTTTTAATTATGACTAGATAGTAAATAACCATAAATATTTTTGTGTAGTACATGTTGAACAAATTATGTAGCAGAAATTTAAACCAAAGTGCTTTAAACATTATTGAACCTTAAAAGGGAAGAAAAAACAAGGAGCAGGAGTGGGTAGGTAGGGAGAATAGCTCAGTGGTAGAGTA